GCTGAACAATATTTGTGAAAATCCTAGCTCCACTGAATTCAATGACAAAACTCCTATTGATTTCACACTCTTTGGCAACTTTATACTTTGCCTCCTTAGAGCTAAACTCCCCTTTTCAGGCATCCTTCTTTAATCTCCACCCTCTAGCCACCTCAACACAATAGCCTCATGACAGTCTTCCAACACCTGCTACCTAACATTCGAGAGAATTAGACTGATCAATAAGCCTCAAACAAGTTATTATTTAGGCATCTAACAACATGGAAAATAGCCTATCATGAACTTTAGTTGTGGTCCATTACATTGTTATGCCCGCATGAGCGCACACACAAACAAGTAATTTGGAATACCAATGTCCCAAGTTCTTTAATACAAAGTTCCCTTCTTCACTAAAATTTGTTTGATGGCAGACAATTGAGTTACATGAGTATGTAATAATTCATAGGCGCTTATACTTGGGACGGGTGGTATCTCCTCTTGAAGTAGCCATATATTAGATGTCCAAATACTAGGCTGGCTTGTCATAATGGAGATTTCAATTGTTTGACAAATTATTATATATTTGATCTCCTTAAAAAATAATATTGTACCTTAGCTCCAAGTAACTACTGTTTATGAGTTGAAGGGTAAATAATTTAATAGCTACCCTCAAAAACATCTCAGTGCAAAATTTTTTTAAAAAGTTTAACAAGTACACTGTATTATGCATTAAAATCCCTTTGAATCCCAGTGAATGAGGAAAAACCTCCAATGCCATAAATACATCTTACCAAACACTATTGTGTTTCAGCTTAGCCTCACAGCTGTAGCTCTTTTAGAGCATTAAAGACACACCTTACTTTAAGGAGCTGACTATGCATAAACTTGGGACTCCTTGTGTATGTTACATATTTCAATACCACACTTCAAAAAATAAAAGTTAAATACCTTATGACTAGAGTACTGTTTATTTTATCATCTAAACGAATACTGCTCTACAATCTATGGTTTTCTACTTTCCTGCGGGACTTTACAAAGATCAGCTTTTCCGTAATTAAAACAATTTGCAAACACACGGAACATGCGTGTTCTCTAATACCAATAGAAAAAAGGTAGCAAGAGTCAGAATTTCCATCACTTTCCTGTTGTCTGTAATAGATGCATAGTTTTGGTTTGGTGTAGCTAAGAATACAGACTACAGCATGTTTTTTCTCCCTGCACAGATAATGTCCATCACAAGCATGCAGATGGTGATAAATATTAAGTGTTTATTAAATGAAATGCATTTTTTTAAAAAAGATGACTAAGTGTCTACATGTAAATGCAGTGAAGCTGGTATAAGCTTAATTAATCAGAGTTGATTCCAATTGGCACCAAGACAAAGCATATTCTGACCAAGTCTAATTAGTGTTGCCTAAATACAACTTCCCAAGGGCTACTTAAGAATTCCTTCGCAAGGAATCTGTTTTCTACTTTCAGAAAGTAGAAGAAAGGATGAACGCTATAGTGTGGCCAGTTCTGCATACAAGGCTGGTGTTGTGCGTGGGTGGGTTTTCTGGAAACAAGAGTACTACAGTCCATTAGTATTTAAGCCTGTCTTGTGAGTTGGTTACTTTACTTGTGCCCAGCCCTCTTTGTACGTGGTTTCGTAGCCTGTTATTGTTCAGCCATCAATAAAAATGCTCTCTGGTCCTTTTGGATCTTTCAGTTCTGTTTTAAACCACAGAATGATCATTACTGTGCACTCCAGCCAAGATGGTGTGATTAAGCGATGAGGCAGAGCGGTCAGAGCCCTCGGTGGGGCCATTGGCACTCTCGCTGCGCTGACAGCAGAGGATCTGTTTGAAGGTAGCACTCATTTCCTTGTCCCGGTAGGAGTAGATAATGGGATTCATGGCAGAGTTGAATTCAGCAAGTAGCAGGAAGAATTTTTCATAGGCCAGGACGTTACATTGAGGACAGCAAACATCAAGGAGCAACAAGACTAGTCCTGGGGTCCAGCAGATTATAAAAGCACCTAGTGAGAAAGAAAAATTAAAGATCAATGCACCAATCACATAAAAGGCTGTATACACAATCTGACCAAACCCAGCAATATTTCATTCTATTTTGCAACAATCAATATACTCCTGGCAAGGGTTTGTTCACTGATAGCAGAGGTTTCTCTCAAAGTCTGAAATTTTTTTCTGGCAGAACTTCATACCAGAAGAGGCGTCACACATGCTGTCCTCTAAATATTCCCTCCTTGGCAAATGTTTCCAGTAAAAGGTGATAATGAGGCGCATTCTTCCTCCTCAGCTAAAGGCCTTTGATTAAATCTTGCTCCCAGGAGACAAATGAAGCAATGTCCATCTCAAGCTAACCACAACAACAAAGACTACCCTTCTGCTAGCATTGTGAATGAAGAAGCAGAAAGAGGGACACGATGCAGGGAGTAATTCTCAAGGAAAAGAATTTGTTTGGGTCTTGCTAATCCATTACAGGCACATTACGTAATGGAAAGTACTAAACATGCCCTCTATGCACTGAAAGGTAGTCTTTGAAGGGCTTTATTTTCTCTCTTAGAACTCTATTCAGCAGAAATTCAGAAGCTCCTAAGGCTTCAGTAGCATGATTGCCAAAGAATCTTGCACTGATTAAAACACTTTTCCCCCTCCCACTCCTCTGCCCCACCCCCCCATCACTTGCAGAACTGAGAGTGGGTAAAGCTCAGAACAAAATTCTGCATTTAAGCGCAGGGATGAAATCAAGTAGCTATTATTGTAATTGGGGCAGTGAAGTTAGGCATTCTGATAAAGTTGTTTCCAATATATACATAGCGGAGGGAGCTCTGTTGTGGAAAAATCTGAGAGAAAATGAGGGGATTTTAATGCTCTTGAGATTTGCTGGATTGACATCAATGGAAAAATAAAGTCCTTGTGTACAGACAGGTTTAGCACAGGCAATGACAGTATAAGCTTCCACATCTTGCCTTGTCAATTCTATTTTGTTTAGGTTTTTCTGCTGCAGCCATCATTATGGTCCCTAGTAGTGTGCCCCTATTGTGAGGGGACATATCAACTCAAGGGGCAACATAGTTCTGCAACAGCATCATTTAAATTTTAAATGAACTTTCAGACACTGCTGTTTACCAGGCACCTCCCCTTCAAACATCACTGAAAGACTCAGGCCAGCTCTACACTATAGGGGAAGGTGGAATTAAGATATGCAATTTGATCTACATAAATTACACAGCTGGAGTTGACGTACTTTAATTTGAATTTCCCTGCTCCCGTTGACTACCCTTACTTCTCGCAAGAGCAGGAGTACCGGCTGCTGACGATAGAGATGTTAGATAGCGTACAACTGAATAATCATGTAACCATCAAATTTTCGTGGTTACACGACTATTTGATAGTCCCTCAGGGCAGGGCCAGCAGCCAGTGAACTCTGGCTCCACTCCCCGGGAGCTCCCTGCCATTCCACGCTGCTGCCTCTGTATCAGAGGCAGTAATGCGGGGCGGCACACTGGAGCCGGTTTGTGAGGGAAACTGGTTTAATAACCAGCTCCACATGCAGACTGGTTGCCTGCTGCCTCATCTGTGGGTGGCCGGCTCCTTGTGGACAGAGGCTGATTTGCAGCAGCCTCTCCTGCGCTACTGATTCTGATAGATGAAGCAGAGAGAGAGAGAGAGAGAGAGAGAGTGTGTGTGTGTGTGTGTGGCGGAGGGGCGAGTACAGGTGGCATCACAGAGCTGGTGCTGGGGGGAGTTGGCTTTTACCCCCCTATAGGAGGCAGCACGGGGGAGAGGTGGGTCAGCAGAGCCAGTATGCATGGAGAGTTGGCTTATGTGTTGGCTGGTGTATATCAGCTCCTGCCTTCTCCCCTCACCCTTCCTGCTGCTGCCTCTTTATCAGGCTGCAGGGGTAGGCAGCAGGTGGATCCAGTGCTTGTGGGGAGTTGGCTTAAAACTGGCTCCCCATGGGCACTGGCTCCCTCTGATACAGAGGCGGGGTGGGGGGATGCGTGTAGTCGACAGGATGGCTTATCGGTTACTCATGTAGTCTACATGTAGACATCCCTAGCCGACAGGGCAACTGCTGAGTTCTATTTAGTGGGTCTTTACTAGACCCGCTAAACCAAACTCTGGAAGATTGACTGCAGCAGCATTCATCTTCCGCATAGTGAATGCATGGCCTGAGGCACAGAGACTAGCCGGGCATGTCACACAGTCGGACTCTGGCGTACAGAGAGGGCAACAGGGTTCTAGTATTCAGGCCCCTCTGTCGAAAATCCCACAACACCAAGCTCCTTTAGTTCCCATTTCAAAACCGATTATCTTGACTTAGCTCAACTGTTTGGAGGATTTATAAGGAGCAAGGATTTCTGTAAGGAATCCAGCGCACAGACCAACTGTGCACTCTATTTGATGATTATGAATATCTATAGGAGTCAAAGCATGGTGAAACACAGGAACAGGGACAGCATCCATACTGTGTGATGAACGCTAAATAGCTAGGTTTGATTAACTTCTCCATAGGGAAAACGGTTAGCTCTAGTTACTTGGAATGTAGTTAATTAGCCACTAGACAGCCATGTGTTTTTCATGCCTTGGATATCAGTAAGTCTCCTAATGCTGCAATTCTCTTGAGTGTAGCATGAAGATCTAAGCACCCAATTATGTTAGCATTTATTTATAGCATAGTGCCTTTTCCCATTAATACTAAATTCAGATGGCCCATTATAAATTGAATACTATTATCTACAAAAAGTAATAGTGAATAGAGTTAATGCTTCTGCAAATATATGAAGAATAACTTTTCTTTTGTTTCTAGCCAGATATAATGCTCCCTGATTTTGCCCCCAAATGCTTATGGTATCACCCCAAATCTTCAGCTCAAGAACAAATCTTTATTACATTGAGCTTAAAGCTTTGATTGGGAATTTTGCTGGTCTTTTCACTTAGTTTTTATTTCAGTTTCTAAAATGTGCCAGTCAAACTCCATGAAGATATTTTTAAAAAGGCCAAGTTCTAACCGACCCAATTCCAGCTCTCCTCAACTCATCAGAACGAGAGCTCTGCCTCTCCCAGCACCGACTCCCTCAGAAAATGCCTAGGGAAATAGATATTCCCTTGCAAAATACCTAGAAAGTCAACAAACTCGGGCTCCAGCAAATCAAAGGGAAAGCGAGTCCCAGGTTTGAAATCCCTCCTCTGATAAACATGTGCAGGAACAGCGGCTTTGTTGTAGGACAAAAGGGTTTTACCTAGCAGTAAATGCCATCACATCATGCCAACAGTTTCTGCCACTGTCAGGGTACGTCTACACTTGCATCCTAGTTTGAACTAGGGATGTAAATGTAGGCAACCAAAATAGTAAATGAAGCGGTGATTTAAATATCCTGCGCATCGTTAGCATAATCTCGCCTGCGCTGTGTTTTGTAACTCAGCTGTTTCAAACCAGGAAGTGCACTCTGAGCCGCATTAGTTCGAATCAAGCCCCTTGGTTCGAATTAACATTACTCCTCAAAAAATGATTTCAAAAAATTTCAAAAAATGAGGAGTAACATTAGTTCGAACCACAGGGTTTGATTCGAACTAACGCAGCCCGGAGCGCACTTCCTGGCTCAAAACAGCTGAGTTCCTAAACAGCGCACGGGCAAGATTATGCTAATGAAGTGCGGGATATTTAAATCCCTGCTTCATATACCATTTTGATCGCCTACATTTGTATCCCTAGTTCGAAGTAGGGTGCAAGTATAGAGGTACCTTCAGGGAGTTCCTATGAGCAAGCAGACTGTGGTAGGAATTGCTGGATGAGCATGGACTGACAAGTGTGGTCCTGAGTGAGCCTGACACTACTGCACATCAATGCAGCTGTGTTTTGTTGAAAGCACAGCTGTGCTCTGACATAGATACCTTGTGCTGTACATTCTGCTGCAGTTCTCACCAGCTATTTTTTAAAATTCTATGCTGCTATCGTATGCAAGCGGCAAAAGTGATCTGCAAGAATTACAATGAAATCAGAAAAGGCTCATCATATCCATTCCATCATAAAAGGGTATGTACGTATTGTAAGAGAATTCAGAGCAGAACCACAGTAAGGAGAGGAAATGATCTAACCAGGGGAGCCAACAGCGTCCACGGACCCCTGGGCAAGGCATGGAGGGACTGGAAGAGTGAGGCAAACGCAGAGCCTTCCAGTGCAGCAAAATCTTTGCGCCCTCTGTAGATTTTTAGTACTAAGCTTTTGTTGGGCAACTACACGGCATAGTTTGCTGTGCCAACTTGGTAACTACATTGCTCTTTTCCTTCGACGTACAGCAGAGCTCCAGTTCTTGTTTCCCCCCGAAGAAGACTGGCAAGTGACAATTTAAATTGCTAGAGAACCGTTACTAGTTTGTTAGCAGCACATGAGGTCTAGGAAAAACACAGCACATACACAGTCTTTCCCTTTGCTGAGAGTTGGATGAAACTCTACAGCAGCCTGATGATTTAAATAGTAGCCATATGCACATGTTGTCTGTGGCTCCCTGACCTCTACTGCTTGAAAAAAAATCACCAAATGCCCCCTTGAAACATCTCATACCAACAGCCCAAACCCAGAAAAAATATTGAGAGGAAAAAAAAGAAAATAAGATGCAAAGAACAAGATTGATTTTTCTCATCTCTAAGTTGTAGTTTCACTTCCAGCACCAATGCTGTTATTAACCATGACTGTTTAGTAGCCACTTGAAATAAATTTGAGGATCTTAGTCCTGATTGTAAAGGGCTACTTTCATCATCCATCTTGACTGACTGACTGACTGAGACATTCCTACAAGAGAAGGAAAAGATTGAATGGACATGGAAGTGAACCATATGGGATTTCAATTAAAATAGTTTTTGAAATTAAGGAGCACAAAACCCTGTACTTCACATATATACATTATTTATTAAAAGGAATTCTTCAGGGTTGGTGCATTAAATCTACTTTCCTTGGAAAACAAAAATCTTGGACTGAAACAATTTAACAACATGCATTTACAATCTCTGA